AAGGGAGGGGAATCCCACATTCCAAGGCTGCTTCTATTAGGTGCTCTAAAAATTATTCTGTGGGGGAGAAAAAGGATAGTACACAATCTTGGGACAGGAATCAATGGCAAATCAAGATGGCAACAGAACAGTGGTAATACATATGGGACTTATGTAAAAGGATAAGTCAAGGCAGGAAAAGGCTGAGTGAAAATGCTGAGTGAAAATTCAGCCTTTCTGAAACAAGGCTGCTTCTATTAGGTGCTCTAAAAATTATTCTGTGGGGGAGAAAAAGGATAGTACACAATCTTGGGACAGGAATCAATGGCAAATCAAGATGGCAACAGAACAGTGGTAATACATATGGGACTTATGTAAAAGGATAAGTCAAGGCAGGAAAAGGCTGAGTGAAAATGCTGAGTGAAAATTCAGCCTTTCTGAAAACAAGGAGTGATCTGACTTCAAACAAGCAAGGAATCTGCCTCAAGTTTTGAAAGCTAATTGAAAATAATGAGTCAGCTTTTTCTCTATCCATTCAACACCTATTTAGAGTTAAAACATGCTGTCTGATAATTGTTTCACACAGCTACAAGATAATGCCATAACATCTTACCTTGCTCTTCTGTTGTGATCATTACTGCGTAGGCTTTTAATGGACCATACAATGAATCAAAATTAGAGAATTCAACAGACAATGATCTGTGACTGACTGCCTTGACTGAAGGAGCTTCGCTTGGAGGAGGTGGGTCTATAAACAGAAGTATTTTTTAGTATGTTAAGGACTGATAAAGAAAAGTCTTATTCACAATTTGTAGGCTGATACTGTACTGCACACCAAGTTTGGTATTATGCAATCATGAACTTAATATTTTTGTCCTACAAATATCTTTCATTCTCAAATCTTAATGCTTACCGGTAATGCTCGTGTTACACACTGTGTACACTGGAGAGCTTTCAGAAGTATTTATAAGATTTATGATAGTTACATTGTAAGTGCTAAAATAATCTAAATGTTCTATTTTGAAGGTTTCTTCTGAGGCTTCTCCTATGCAGGATGAATTCACTTCTGAAGTATTTATATTAGGTATTGTAATTCTGAAGCCAGTGCTGTAACCAGGAGGACAATTCCACTTCAGAATTAGAGAAGGCTGCTTGGCCACTGGTTCACACAGAAACGAACTCGGTGAGCCAGGTCCTGCCAAAAGCAAAAAGAACAACAAAAAAAGAGAATTAAGAAACCAAGTGCTGTCTTTATTAGAAAAAGCTGTCTATTTATATGTTATGTATATAACATTTGTAAAACCTCAGTGTACCTTTTCATTTTTAAAAGGATGCCTACATGGTGTCTACTGCCTACATGGACTTGTTACTCTATGAGGAAGGGAAGTATTTAACACATTAAGTGCACATTCTGTGCTCTCCTTTACAGACAAGGTTACTGGGAAATCTTAGGCTGTGTATCTGTCAAGAACAGCAACGTTTTCAAAATACTATTCAATCCTTGAATATACTACTTGAATATACTACTTCTTAGAGTAGTATGTAGACTGACACTAACTCCATGTATAACTCTTAGTGGCCAGCAAATAATAAAATTGAATATAACCTCTACAGATCAAGTGCACAGCAGCAGCCATCCTTAGAAACAGCAATTTGTCAGTTAGGGCAAGTCTTCTATGACACAATACAAAAAGATATTTAAGAAGTTAAAGTAGCAGTAACACTGAGAAGAAAAGTCCCTCTAAACTAAACATCTCATAAAACTTGGCCTTCAAGACCAAAACACTTTTAACTGTACAACTATAACACACCAAATTTATCTCCTCCCTTAATAAGGAAGTATTTGGTACTTTAAAACACAGGGGTTATAGACTCATGGATTAAATTATTTTGTTATTTAAATGGGTATTGTTTTAAGAAACTAAGGAGAAGCACAATTATGTAACAGATTTAGTTAAAAGATAAATGAGAGTGACTAGGACTTATTTATACTGCATTTTGTAAATAGTTATTTTCCGTCAGTAACACTGTCAGCTATTCCTACAAATTTGGTGAGATAATAGGAAATTATAGCCATAAACCCTGGAATAACACCTCTGACACCTGGTGACACTGGATGTCTAGTTTCTAGAGGAGCAACCATGACTTTTGATCTGTATCCTGTAGGTGTAATTAGAGGAATTATCATCTGTGCTCCATGGGCAAAATCAGAGACAGCATACTCCACCCTGATATGGAAAACAGCTGGGCTCTGTGAAACGCAAGAGGAGACTCCAACAGCACTAGTGAATATTTAGTGACAAAAAGAGAGAAAAAGCAGAGGCACACCCCTGCTTCCACATTTCAGACAGACTGAGCATATGAGCAGCCAAGCAGCACTTTCAGAGTAGCAGTGACTCTCTTAAGTTCATTGCAGAGCCCCTTTGGAAAACCCACTGAGGAGCTCTGAGACAGACTGATCTCACCTCACTCAAAATGGGACAAAACAAAGGAAAGGACAAAGCAGCACATAATCACAACAAGGAGGAAAATAGTCCCAATGCCTAACATGAGGAATGCAGGAGTAACTTAACTTTCTCCTGTCTGTTGACAGGCTGAGCAGAGCAGCATGAGTGGCAACCTCAGAGCACAGTGCTGCCCCCAGCCCAGCTCAGCCATGAGCTCTTCCAAAGCGAGAAGCTTCCCAGGCACAATGAGCACTCTGTGGGAGCCCTTCAAAATACAACCTGAGGGCCTCATTCACAGGGAGAAGGCAACAAAACACCCTACACAGAACCCCCTTCCACACAATAACATCACTGACTCCAGGCAGGCTGTGTGCAGCACTTCTGCCTGACACCATGATGTATTTCAACCCAGTTGAAAGGCGGACAGGAAAGGGATGTACATGGCTGGCAATGAAGGGGACTTTGTTTAGGTTGGTTGGGATTTGGTTTAGTTGTTATGGTAGATTTTTGTTTCAGGGTGAGGAGTAGGTGTTAAATAGGCAGCTTGGTGTTAAATAAATAAACAAATAAATCAGGGCTATGTTTCCTCTACACATGAACCTCTCATTCTTAGTATCCAGCCCAGGTGCGGCCTGTATTAAATTTCAGTCCTCAAGCATGTGGGCAGAGCCCTGTAATGCACAGCAAAACACAGAGAAACAGGAACAGGGCTGCAAGAAACTGTGACTTACTTGTGTACAGGTCTATGGACGTCCTTCCTTCACTTTCTGTCATGTTATCAGCTGCTACTGCAAACACTGTGAAGATGTAATGTGTCCCAGGGGATAATCCAGTAATTTCTGCTTCGGTGACACTGGACATCACAGTCCTAGTGCTGGTACCATTGGAAACCTCTATCCTGTATGTGTAGGAGCCAGCAGCAGTGTCATTCACCATCCAGGTTAACTTGACAGAAGTCTCACTAATATATTCTGCTTTGAGACCATAAATTGGGCTGGGCTCTGTGAAAGACAAGGCAACAATCTGTCAACCTGCTAGAACACCTGCTCATAGGCATGGGCAGAAGAAACACAGACACACCAGTACTTCACTCCCTTCACATCACTCCTGGTTCAGAATGCAGGAGCAGCCCAGCAGTATCACCAGTCACTCCTAGAAGCTTTTGCACCAGTCAGCAGCTAAGAGAACTGATGGAAAAGTTATTCTGAGTGGCATTCATCTCCCTTTGGCACTCTAGAGCAGGAGCACAGGTCATCACAGTGCCAGTGCTCCCAGGACTTTGCTTAGAAATTCAGCAGTGTTGTCAGGAAAAATACAAGGTTGCAGGTGGATTGGGGAAAGCAGATGGTAGTCTGTCTATGCACACCAGAAGATAAGGAACTTCGAATATTACAGAAAGACAGGTGATCAAAGGTGGCAAAGGAGCAGGCTGCCTGGGTCATACCATGAGAACACTCCTGAGCCAGCATTGCCTAAAGTTCATTCTACTGCTCCAGCCTGATGGCAGTCAGAGACCCCCAAACCACATAAAGACCCCTGGGTACAACACACTGTCTCTGTGTGGGAGCCCTTTAAAAGATGGGTCTGAGGCCCCCATCCTCCAAGAAGTGAAGGCAACAAAACTACCCCACACACACAAAAAGTACAGGTGATAGCTTGCAAAGGATGCCCAGATACTTCTCCCAGTGAATAGGCTAGTACCTGCACAAAACATGGTTGATGATTACAAGGTGGAGGTGCACAAAACAGGTTGATGACCTGTTGTAGCAGGGGGCTGAATTACAAAAGACAATTAAGAGGTTGTGCAGTATTAGAGGGGTTGAAGCAGAGGTAGATACACGGCTTCAGGACCATACATCTACAATGGATCCACTGAGCATAAGACACCTTGGACCCTCCAAGATCCAGTCCAAAACCAGATATGATGCTTTAAGGGCTCTAGATGTCCAAGAGCAAGGCCAACAAGGAGAACCTGCACCAGCAGTGCACGGTGGTTGCTGTGAAAAGAAACACTGAGTGACTGTAGTGGGAGATTCTCTGTTAAGGGGCATCTACTGGCCTGACAGAGTCACAAGAAGTATGTTACCTACCAGAGGCTAAGATCTGTGATGTTGCTGAGAGGGTACCCCAACTTGTCAATAGCACACACTACTAGCCACTATTACTCTTTCACGTGGGTACCAAGACACTGCAAGCCAAAAAATAGGTAGGATCAAGGAAGACTATAAAGCCCTGGAAAGGCAGGTGAAAAGCACTGGTGCCCAAGTCATCATCTCACCTGTCCTACCGGTTAGAGAAATGGGCACAACTAGAAGCAGTTGCATACTGCAGGTCAACGTCTGGCTTTGTGGCCATCAAAAAGGTTTTGCCTTTTATGACAATGGGTTGTACTTTAATGATTGCAGCCCGTTAGGGAGGGATCAGATCCATCTTTCTGAAAAGGGCAAGAGAATCTTTGGCAGCAGGCTGGCCAATTTGGCGAGACAGGCTTTAAACTAAAGGACTCAGGGGGTGAGGTCCAAAGCAGCAATGCTCATGCCATTGCTTCCTCCTGGGGAGTGGGTCATACCAACCACTGCAGTGACAGAGGTTCCTTGACTGCCTCTCAAGATAAGGCTCACAGGACTAAACACATCAAGGGTGTTCATGGTTATGGCGAATCCTCTTACATGCCTTCTAGGGAACCTGGATGCTTGATTACCGCTCTGAAGCGCCTGTATACAAAAGCACACAGATGGGGACCAAACAAGAAGAACTAGAAAGCTCTGTGCAGTCAATGCCTGAGACATGGTGGAATAGGTCACATGACTGGAATGTTGTAATAGATGGCTATGTACTTTTTAGAAAGGACAGAGAAGTGAGGTGGTAGAGTTGCTCTTTATGTGAGAGAGCAACTAGAACGTATTGAGCTCTACCCAGGGAGAGATGAATGAGTTGAGAGTTTATGGGTAAGAATTAAGGGACAGGCTAATATGGGTGACACTGTTGGGGTGTTTACTATAGGCCACCTGATCAAGAGGAGGAAGATTATGAGGCTTACTACGGACAGCTGGAAATAGCCTTGTCGTCATGGTTCTCCTGGGGGACTTCAACGTCTTGGCTGTTCAACTTGTTTATCAACGATGTGAATGAAGGGACATAATGTACCCTCAGCCAGTTTGCTGATGATACAAAACAGGGGGGACTGGCTGATACACCTGATGGCTGTGCCAGAATTCAGTGGTACCTTGATAGGCTGGAGAGTTGGGTGGAGACAAACCTAATGAGGTTCAACAAGGGCAAGTGTAGGGTACTGCATTGGGGCAGGAATAACCCCAAATACCAGTACAGGCTGGGGGCTAGCCTACTAGAGAATAGTTCAGCAGAGAAGGACCTGGAAGTTTTGATGGATGACAGGTTGACTATGAGCCAACAGTGTGCCCTTGTGGCCAGGAAAGTCAATAGTACCCTGGGGTGCATTGGGAAGAGTGTGGCCAGCAGGTCAAGATGATTTCCTACAGTCCCAGGGAGACCACATCTGGAATAGTGTGTCCAGTTCTGCACTCCTCAATACAGGAAAGACAAGGAACTACTGAAGAGGGTCGAGCAGAGGACCACAAAGATGATTAAGGGCCTGGAATATCTCTCTTATGAGGAGAGACGGAGGGAACTAGGCCTATTTAGTCTAGAGAACAGCAGACTAAGAGGGAATGTCATTCATGCATATAAAGAGCTCAAAGGCAGGTGTCAGAAGGATGGTGCCAGGCTCCTTTCAATGGTGCCCAGCAACAGGACAACGATCAACAGTCATAAAGTAAAATACAAGAAGTTGCACCTCAACACAAGGAAGAACTTCTTTACACAGAGTGGCAAAGAACTGGAACAGGCTGCCCAGGAAGGCCATAGAGTCTGCCTCTCTGGAGATACTCAAAACTCATCAGGACAAGTTCCTGAGTGAACTGCTATAGAGGACCATGCCTTAACAGGGGTGCTGGACTAGACGATCTCCAGGGGTCACTTCCAACCATAACACTTCTGTGATTCTCTAAAATCCCAGACCACGGAGAAAGGTTCTTGAACAATATTCACGGTGTCACGGGCCCTGGTGACTAACATCAACAATTACTGCTTTTGAGGGGTTTCTTTTATTATGCTTTTTAAAAAGAAAGCTATATCTCTTCCATACAAACATATCTGACTGTAGACAGGCAATGTATAGAGCCTCTGCCTGCAACAGTATAATGTTTCAAGCCTCAGGAAGGTAGGCAGGGCCCCAAGCAGCACAGCAAAACATAGAAAACCATAACAGGGCTGCAAAAAAAACGTGACTTACTTGTGTACAGGTCTAGGGACCTTCCTTCACTTTCTGTCTTGTTATCAGCTGCTACTGCAAATACGGTGAAGTTGTACCACGTCCCAGGGGTTAACCCAGTAATTTCTGCTTCGGTGTCATTGGTCATCACAGTCCTAGTGCTGGTACCATTGGAAACCTCTATCCTGTACGAGTAGGAGTCAGCAGCAGTGTCATTCACCATCCAGGTTAACTTGACAGAAGTCACACCAACATATTTTGCCTTGGGATCATGAACTGGGCTGGGCTCTGTGAAAGACAAGGCAACAATCTGTCAACCTGCACAAACAGGAGGAAGGCCAGAAGGAGGAACACCTTCCCTTGGTCGTAGAGGGTTGCGTTAGAAATTGGCTAGACAGACTTCACACCCATAAATCCAGGGGCCCTGATGGGATGGATGCACCTACAGGTGTATCACCTGCTCACAGGCATGGGCAGAAGAAACACAGACACACCAGTACTTCCCTCCCTTCCCATCACTCCTGGTTCAGAATGCAGGAGCAGCCCCACAATATCACCAGACACTCCTAGAGGCTTTTGCAACAATCGCTGGGTTAACAGGTAGAAAAAGGAAGAGCCATCTCAAGCAGGACTCCTCTTCCTTTCACAAGCAAAGGTAGGAGGGGCACAGGCCATCCCAGTGCCACCAATCACAGGGCTTATCCTGGCAATCCAAAGGGGTAGGCAGGAAGGAGAGAAGAGTGGATGGGAAAGACAATGGTGGTACAACACTGCACAGCCAAAAATAAGGAAGATGAAACATCACAGGAAGAGGACCAGAGGTGATGACCCAGCCTTCTTTTCCAATCCTCGTGCCCTGCAATTCATTCCCATATAGCAGAGAGACCATCTCCAAAAACCTTCTCACCACCTTCCTATTCTCTCAGCAATATCAAAAGAGGCCAACTAGCCACTACAGGCAGTCGGCACAGG